TACTTCGTAGATGGCGTTGATTCATAATAGCTGAAATAATTTAATAATATCTAGATCCTGAAAGAGCACGTGTTGTTCACCGTGTGATCTGCTGATCATTTTTTGTTGATCGCGCGCGGCCGGGACAGAGCAGGGCAGAGCATCTCTGGGACTCGCAGACGTAAATTATCCTCCGGAGCGAACGAAGGATCTCGTGGTATTACGATGGCAAATGCAAGTGACCACGACGACAGTGTAGAGTGTTACGCTCGACAAAAGCTGGCCAGCGCGGATAAGTTATATGCCGCGACATATTTGAACAAGACTGATGAGACAAGAGCAAACGCCCTTGCGGAAATTAAACGCTGGATTAAGGAGAAGGAAGACTTACATGCACAAAACGGTAAAACGGACAACGATCCCACGTGAAATATCGCGTTGAAATTCTATTATAGTTTATTAATTCCAAAGATAAAAAAAAGTCACCTTCAATCCGCGGAAATGTGACGTGACATTTGATATACATTTACTTAAAAAAAAAAAATAAAAAATAAAAAATGATGTAACAAGTGGCGTTTAACTTTGTTAACTAAAAGAGAAGTGAGAGAAAAAGTGTCAATAAATAATAGTAAATAGTTACTGAATAGAAATTTTTTATAATAAAGTTTGTTCTCGCAATATTGTATTTCAATATCTTTTTAATCAAGCAGTTTTTCTATTAGCGATTTTATTAGTCAAAGAAGCAAGAAAGAATACATTTAGAACAGAAATGTGCATAATATAATAATTTTAGTACGTAAATTTTTGAATGTGCGGTATATTTGCGCAAGCAATACCAATATACCTAATTAGATTCAGTTTTATGTTTTTGGGAAAACTAATTTATTTCTCTCTTTCTTCCATTGCGGAGAGAGATACTTGAGAGCATAGTGTACAAGAGCGAATGTATAAAATTTAACCGTTTAATTAAAATTCTTTGCATTCCTAAATTAAAAGAATAAGAAAAGAAATTCATTTTACTCGCTACTTAGAACTCATTTTTATTTACATTATTTTAACTCTTTAACTAGAAATTAGACTTATATTTCAACTTATTAATCTTATATGCTTAATTTATAAGTAATAATATAACTATAATTTTTTAATATAAGTTTGTTTTATATATGCATTCTATCTTTAGAAGATCTAATGCGTGTTACATTGTAATGAATTTAGAAATTAATGGTTTTTTTGCGCCGCTCGGGAATAAGTAGAAATATCTGGGATAAGTAGAAGTATCTACATCAAGTGTCTATCAAGGTTATCAAACCGAATCATGGTCGGCAGCAGATGGCACAATTTTTGATTATCGCAGTTGATTCAATAATAGAGCTCTCTGCATACAACGCAGAGTTGATCCGTGTTATTTGTCGTGATACATAATTACACATTACATTAAACATTGTTACATTTGTCATTTGTCTTATCTTACGCGTGACAGTGCATCTACTCTGTTTGCAGACACGTCGAGTCTCTCCCCGGTGGGCGAGGCTTCGCGTTCACCAACGTTCACTAACGTCGCGATGGCGAGCACTTGCAGCGACAGTGTTATGCCTCATGCTCCACAAGAGCTGACTGAAGAGGATAAAAGATATGCAGCAACAAATTTGAACGAGACTGACGAAACGAGAGAGAACTCTGTCGCGGAGATCAAACGCTTGATCGAGAACGAACTGCGCATACGAATCGGTAAAAATGACATCAGCGATCTTACGGGCGTGTTGGAATTCAATTTCGGCTCGTTACTTCGGCAGTACAACTCATTCATCTTTATTTGACGTTGACATGACATTACGCCGATTCACGTCAAATGTTTAGCTCTCTGAATTCATTCTTGATCGTGTAAAAAAAAAAAAAAAAAAAAAAAAAAAAAACGAAAACTAATGTAACAAATTGTGTCTGACTTATAATGAACAGAAAATCGAAAATAATCTGAAACGACAAATAATAATAAATGATGAAATATAGTAACTCGATAAAAGACCTACATGACAAAGTTCGTTATCGCACTATTGCATTTTGCCATTTTGTAAGCCAAAATGTTTTTCAAAATTTTATTTAAATCTTCTATTAATTAAAAATCCCCATCTTATCCCGTGGTACGCATTTATGAAATATAATTTATAATACCTGATTTAGCACTGTTTCAATTATAGTCTTTTAGTTAAAGGAACTCTTTAATGTGTACACAGATGACTTTCTCATCCTGCGATTTTTGAGAGTATGCAAGTTTGATCTTGAGAAAACTAATATCAGGATACGAAACTATTATAAGCAACGATCCAATTTACCAGAATGGTACATGAATAGAGATCCGTTTCGACCAGAACTGCAGGAATTGCTTGAATTGGGGTAACGAACAGTATTTCGGATAATTAATTTAATTTTTTTATTTATTATTTTTTAATCTGCTTCATCTATTTTGGATACATAACAGAACTCTTCACTAATTGCAGCTTCAATTTTAAAAATAACAACTTGCATAAAATTATACAGATAAATTTTTAATAACTTTTTTTTCTTATTTCTATTACATTCTAAGAAGAATATTGAATTAAGAAATTGCGGAAATATACTCGATGCATGACTGTAAAACTAAAAGGTATTTTGATTTTTTCGAAGGATTCTAAAATACTTTATTCCCGTTTAGAGTGTTTTTGCCTCTGCGGAAGCCGGATAGTGAAGGAAGATTAGTTATTTTGGTGCGCGGCACTCGGCATGATCCAAGAAGACACAATATATCAGACATAGTTAAGGTAAATATTAAAATAATACAATGCTCGAACAATTTATAAGTCGTCACGCTAAAGTATTTTTTTCATTGTTATTTATTATTTCTCGACGGACGATTTTTTTAGATCGGTGTTATGGCGACGGAAGTGGCAATGAAATATTACCCCGCAGCATCTGTGTACGGTTTTGCATCGTTTATAGACATGGTCAATCCAACTGTACGCCATATTCTTCAGTTGCGACCCTATATATTAATGAATTTAATCCACGCGTGGCAAAGCTGCTATCCTATAAGAATCCAAAAGATCAATATATTCAATGTACCGGCATTTTTCAACGTTATTGTGGAGATTCTCAAATCATTCATGACTGAGAAGATAAAGAATAGATTTAATGTCTATTCACATACGACCGACTGTTTTAAAGATATTCCCGCTGAGATTTTGCCCGTCGAATATGGCGGCACTGATGGTACAATCCAGGAATTAACAGGTAAATTTGATAAATTAAAACGCGGAATAAATTTGACGCGCTTAGTACACGATAAAGAATGTTATTAAGAAACTATTGCCGAGAAAAAGGGATTAACTTCTTTCAGTTAAGACGAGCAATCGTGAAGGCGATAATCACTAAATTCTAAGAGTTTTTCAGATTCTAAAATATATATGAAGCCCTTGTCCAGATTTGCATAAACATTTAATTGAATGTGTGTAATATAAACATTTTCTTTTGCAGAATATTGGAAGAAATTAATTGAAGAAAATGGCGGCTGGCTTACGCATAATGATGAGAATGATAGAATCGAATAACATTTCAGAGCAGTAGGTTCAAAATCAGAAGAAAATATTTGTTCTTTGCGCACACTTCAATGCATTTGTTATCGAACTAATTATACATCGTGATTGTTGATGCTGATTTATATCGCTAATATGATACTAGAAATCATATAAATTTTAAAGCGCATGCCTGTCAATTTTCTTTATCATTAGTTGCTCGTTAAATTGCAGGTCAAAATGCGCTTTCTTAATTCGCAATCACATGTCCCGCGTTTACTATCGTCACGATAGTAACGTCACTGAAACGCGGTATCAGCTATTAATAAAGATAAAATGTTACTCGTTGCAGAAACGGGTTTATTTTTTTATGCGACAAGCAATAAAGTATCGCATGCGATTTCTTTATTAAGAAAGATTTACCGGCGACTTTTACAAAGGTTTAATAATAGTAGAATATGTACGGTATAATCTTGTAACACATTTGGTTTTATTTTCCCAAATAAAGGTTGTTTACCAGGCTGTACGTGATTTTTCCCTTCACCGCAGAAAGTAAATCATTTTTCTTCTCTTTCGTTACGCAAAAGATTCCTGCCGGAAGCGCAATACAGAAGAGTGGATTTACGATTCATATACAAATTTTCTATATATCCTTAAGTTATGTGAATAAGAAGAGGAACTCGTTTTACTCGCTTGTAACTTAAATATTATTCTATTTTAATCATTCTATTGTTTTAACTATAAACATCAGTTATCTTAATTTACTTATTTTATACGTGCAGCTTGAAAGCAATTATATAACTATAATCTTTTATCATAATTTCAGCTCATACGCACCATTTAATAGAATGTGTCTTCGCGTGGCTCATTCTTTCAAGAATAAGTGCGAAGTATCCATCACGTTCACTATATCATGTCTCTACTTCGTAGATGGCGCGATTTCTAGCTACTGAGTCGTCGCTGAAATTATCAAGAGTCCACCAAAGCGAACAAGTGTTGTTCAGCGTACTATCTGCTACTACTGCGTTCAAAATCGTTGGTCGTGCGCGTAAAGCCGCAACAGGCACGGATCAGTTCGGACGTGTTTTGTCCGGAAGGAAAATTTTTTTTTAATAACTATTGCGACTTTTACTGTCTGCATTGTGTTTTTATTACATCGCATTTTTATTACGACGACATTACGGCTATTGACGTCAAGTGGTTTTTACGCCTTACGGCTATTTTACGACAAGTGGTTCGCCCTGGCTATATATAGAGAAGTATTGCTGACAGGCTGTATTTTGATATAAAAGAAGAAGAAGAAGTTGGTCGTGCGCGTGTCTGCAGAGCTAGGCGCACATAATATTATCGCTGAAGCGTTCACTATCGTCGTGATGGCGAGCAGTTGCAGCCATAGCGTCATGGATCACGCTTGGAAAAAGCTGTCCAACGACGACAAGTTATATGCAGCGTCACAGTTGAACGAGACCGACAAGAATAGAGAGAACTCCATCGCGGAGATCAGACGCTGGATCCAGGAGAACGATGACTTCCGCGGACAATTCGGTAAAAAACAGCAGTCCCGTATGTAACGCACGCGTTGAAGTATCGCTAGTTGAAATTCAATTATAGTTTATTAATTCCGCAGCGATAAAGCGAAATCCGCGTCAATGTAATATGAGCAAATTTTGATAACCTATTTTATTAAAAATAAAGAATATAATATACATTAAATTAACTTATTTCTTATTAATTGTTACATCTGCTATTAATTTATATTGTTACTTTGTAGTGTAAATAGTTTCACCACAAAGATCGCTTCACTATATCGATTCACTATAAATATCGATTAACAAAGATTAAAATTTAATAATTATATATAAACAAATTTATTCGTAAAGTATAGAGAATCAAAATAATTTAATTAACATGTTTTACGTAAATGTAAACATATTACGTAAAATAAGTTGTTAAAATTATTAGGATTACATATTCTGTAAAGGCCAATTAAAAGTAAAGTAAAAAATTCTAACATCACCAACTCAATCAAGATTGCAATATATACTGAGAAATAATTAGACACTATAAGCAAAGTTCACACGAGTGATGCTATCATTATGCATGCACAGCAATTACATTGTCAATTTCCATAACTTATCTGATATTATTTTTTGCCATTCAACTGTGCTTACAACTCTTGAATTTTTTAGTCGATATTGCGTCAGTCTTTCATTAAATTGCAAATCATTAATTTGAATTTCTGGCTACTTCTTTTTTATGCATGGCACCTTGACTGCTATACATAATATATGTGAAGTTTAAGGTGATCCTAAAGCCGTGATCCTAGCCGGTTTTTTTCAGTTTTTTTCTTAGCACTAATCTTTTAATTGGCTTTATAGAAATGCAAAATTCTTGCCTAGAATTAAAGTACGCATCAAAATCTAGGTCATGGTGGTCGAATTTATATTGAAAACGAAAAAAAATTAATATTTTTTGTTATACGTGACGACCACCACATATAAATTCTACTTAACTTGCTACATTTGTACAGCTGTTCAAACAGAATTAAGTACACATGAAAAAATATATAACGATATAAATTCAAAAATATGACTAAATTTAAATACGACTAAATTTATTTTAAATAAATTGGAATATAACAAAATTAATAACTAAATTTAATTCTATTAGAAGCAGAAGTTATCAAATGATTAAACAATATTTTTTTTTGTTTCTTAGAATGTAGCCTAATAAAACAGATCTTTAATGTTTTCTGTTAAAAAGATAATACAATTTATTCCTAAAATTACTGCTCTATGTGTGTATTTCTAATATTAATGATAATAGATTTAGTATACTGTTTTAAGTAACTTTTCATTTAAAAGGAATCTTTAATCTGTACACAGATGACTTCCTTATCCTGCGATTTTTGAGGGTTTGCAAATTTAATCTTGAAAAAACCAAGATCAGGATTCAAAGCTATTACAAACAACGATCCGACGTACCAGAATGGTACATGAATAAGGATCCATATCTTCCAGAACTGCAAGAGCTGCTTGATATGGGGTAACTATCACTTTTTCGGAGTATAAGAGTTTATTGGAGTTCGTGGTTTCGTGAGATTTTGCAGTGAATCTTTTACGTAACCTAGATTGACATATAATAAAATGTTTTATTTTTTAAAATTAAAAAAAATTCTCTTTTCTACTCCATTATTATTATCTTACACACAACGCATTGCGGATTATCCGATTATAGTATAGAATGAAATTTCATAAATTTTCGAGAAATCTGAAATGCTTTATTTACGTTTAGTTTTTGTTTGCCTCTGCGGAATCCGGATGATCAAGGAAGATTAGTTATTCTTGTGCGCATCATATATGACCCGACAAGACATGAAATATCAAACCTGGCTAAGGTCAATATAAAACTATACTCGATTTATATCGGATATCGTCACCATGACATATTTTTAATTTGTATATTGTTTCTCGACGAACAATCTTTTCAGATCTTTTTGATGGTGTTGGAAACGGCGATAAAACATTATCCCGCGGCATCCATATATGGCTACACATTGTTCATGGATTTTGCCAATACAACTATACGTCACATTGCTCAATACCGACCCTACATTTTAAAGAATTCGGTTCGTTTATGGCAGAATTATCCCATGAGCGTCAAATTAATTAACATATTTAACGCCCCGTTAATCTTCGAAGTGACTGCAATGATTTTGAAATCTTTCATGACTGAGAAGTTGAAGAACAGATTCAATGTCCACTCAGACAGTACGGTGCATAACTGTTTGAAGGATATTCCAGCCAACATCTTGCCCGTCGAATGTGGCGGCACTGATGGTACAATCCAAGAATTAACAGGTAATTGCGATAAATTAGAATGTAATAAATACAATAACGCGTTTAGTGAAAGGACGTTTCTTATTAAACTAATATGTGTTGAAGAGAAAATGAACTTCTCTCATCTAAGATTGCAGTATTCCGAGCAGTCGTACATTAACTAAAAGTTTGTCAATAGTTCATATAGTTAATTGTTCATATGTGTCTAAATTGACGTCAACATTATATAATTCAATATATGTAAAGTAAATACTTACTTTTGCAGAATACTGGAAGAAACTGATCGAGGAGAATCGCGACTCGCTTTTGAATGAGGACGACAAAATCGTTTCAAAACACTACATGCAGAATCGTTTGAAGGATAATCCAGCTAACATCGAATATGACGGTACTGATGGTACCATTCAAGTATTAACAGGTAATTGCGGTAAATTAGAATGCAATAAATGTAACGCGTTTAATGAAAGAATGTAACTTATTAAGTAAATATGTGTCAAAGAGAAAATTAATTTCTCACATTGCTTCTAAGATTGCAATAATTCCCACAAGTCATACATTGACTAAAAGTTTGTTAATTGTTTATCTAATTGTAATATGTGTATCTTTCAATATATGTAATGTAAATACTTACTTTTATAGAACGTTGGAAGAAGCTGGTCGACGACGATCACGTCTGCCTTGCGAATGAGGAGAATGAGGAAATCATTACAAAACTCTAAAATCAACAAAAAGTACTTGCTTTTTTTAACACATGTATAGATATATTTATGATCGTTATATAGCTCGTAAGTTTTGTCTGTTTTGTGTTTTGAGATATAAATAATTATCTTCCTTTTTTTCTTTCTGCGCAAATAGATTTATCGGTAATATGAAATTTTTAAGAGTTTTGTAGGTGGTCTTTTTTTAAAGGCGATTACGCGGGGATCTTTAAAAGCTTAGCAACGCTAGAGAACGTTTGCTTTTAGCGAGCTTGATTTTCTTTTACCAAATGTATGCCGGGCTTCGTTGTGTTCTTTACGAGGGTGTTGTAGAAAAAATAAATTTTTTCTTTTTTTTTTTCATTGTGCAGAGCATACTCTGAGAGTATAATGTATGCAGATGTATAAAATTAAGCTTTTAGTTCAAATTCTTTGCATTCTTAAATTAGGAGAATAAGAAGATAAATTCGCTCCACTCGCTTTGCAACTTAGAACTCATTTTCCTTACATTGTTTTATATTTACCTTCTTAACTGTAAACATTAGATATATTCATACTTCATAAGTAACAATGTAATTATAATTTTTTTTAATTTTAATATAAAATAAATCGTTTAGTTTTACTTTAACCGAATAATAAAGTAGT